AATTCAACTATTAATGTTTAATTTTAATGTTCAGGTATCAAAGGCCCAAGGTAAGAAGGGTTGTCAAACTTGAAATAAAAAATAAACTCTTGATTTCATTTATCCATAACTAGTTTAAATTTATCTTTGTTGAGATATAATCAGGTAATTTTTTTAAATTTTCATACACAGGTGTTCTGCACATAATTAATGACATCCTTGTAAAAAGAATGTCAAAAAACATACACATGTATTCATTTTTTTTTTCTTTCGGTAAATGTTACATATGTCAGCAGCTGTCTCATGGAACCTTGTACCAGTCTGACCACTTGTCTACTCCCTAGAATAAAGCAAGTCAATTTCAAGAGTTAACAAAGACACTTATGCAAGTTGGTATGATGTCAAGTGTCTCTTACTTTTATAAGTTATTTCAAATAGTCATTGATGTAGGTAATCTAAGGAATGTGTTGTTGTTGTTTGAGTTTAATGACACAAAGCTACATGGGCTATCAGCACCAAAACTTTTTCTTATTAAGATAATCACTCCAAAAAATTGAAAAGTAAAAATGTATAAAATAGAAAATAATATATATGGCAATTTTTAAAGGATTGGAAAATTCATGGGAAAACTAAAAACTAAACTGAACATCATTTTGATAGCATGAAAGTAACATATAGGCACTGTAACACTGCTCACACATTTGCAAGATGTTCCTATACAGGAGGAGGCAGTAAAAAAAAAAATCCAATGTACAGTCAAATCAAAACCAATGTTTCACTAGATGGCCAATCAATGATTTGAAGAACTTATTGGTTTGTTGTTTACCCCAAGTTGCCTGCTAACTGACCTGAAGCTTTGTCTTGTTGGTAGGCCTGAAAGGCATATGAGAAATAAGCAAAGTGTCATGTTACCAGTGGATGCCAATTTGGCCATAGAAATCTTTCAATCAGGTACCAATATGGCTAGGAATCCAGGAAAAATGGATGATAGCAGATTATACAGAAACTGGCCTATAGTTCATGAAACATCCATGAGAACTGGGCAAGAACAGACAATACATGATTCCAGGCCTTCAAATAGTCAAGCAAGTCTGTATATAAGGGGCAAATTGGTGTTCTGCTTAAATTCCATAAAATCCAATGCAAAATAAATTACATAAAACACAGTTGTGAATACTCTAGAGAGGATTCTGTAAACAATTACAGGGTCACTTGATTCCAAGCCATCCATAAAAGAAATGAGAATAGAATGTTAGATAACAGAAATGTTCATTAAAGAGAAGTTGGTATTTCAGTCAGAATTATAATACTCCTTCAAATGAAACATTGAAAGATTTTAGTGGATGATGGTTATAAGCCATGGAGGGATGGGCTGGTCATCAGTTTCAGTAATGCCATTCAAAGTTCACCCATCTCATTCAACTACACCTGGACATGATGTTCAGTTGGATGCTGAGGCAGTCACTGATGGTTTGCTTAAACTGCAAAGAAAGATGCAAACTTTGGAGGTGAATAAATAAGACAAATTTATCATTTAAATTATGAAATACATCCAAAACTTCATACAGTCAGAATTGAAGTGGCAGTTCACAGGACTCTATGCACATACACTGAATAAGAGAAAAATCAAAAGCCCTTGGTGATGCAAAAGGTTCAAAATCTGTAACTCTTTCAGCATGGGCTCAGTCCATTAAACTGACCATGCA